ACAAGCTCTGCCTACCTGGGACAAATCCCAAGTGAAGCACATTCTACAACATGCCTGACCAGTGTTCTTCACAGCCATCAGGGTCATGAAAGACAAGCAAGAACATGACACTCTCCCAAAGCAGAAGCCAATGCAATGCGGCATCCTGTTTCAGAAAAAGGCCATCAGTGGAAAACTGGGGGAATTTGGATAAAGTGTGTAGTTTCTTTAAAAGGAGGAGGTAGTGTTGTTTTCTACAAAGAATGAGTGATAAATATTTCAGGCCTTGTTGGCCATGTGGTCTCCTTTGAAACTACAGTGCAAAAGTGGTCAAAGACAACACATAAGTCAATGGGTGTGGCTGAATTCCAATAAAACCTTATATACAAAGAAAAACCCGTGAGCTGGATTTAGTGCGTGAGCCACGCTTCCGGACTCCTGGATAGTAACATTGTATCAACGTCAATTTCTCAGTTTTGACAAAGGTACCCTGGTTATGAAAGACAATAACACAAGGGGAAACTAGGTAAAGGGATATGGGTACTCTCTGCGCTATCTTTACAACTCTTCCGTAAACTTAAAATTATTTCCAAAAAAAGTTTTGAAATGAAGTAGAAATAATTGGGGGAGTTGGGTGTCATTTTTGGATGGCCTTTGTTACCCCAACTCTGAACTTTCTTCCCCCAGTGACTGTATTCAAGAATTGGTCATATGCATGGATCACATCCCACGGTCACGGCCAGTTCCATGTTTCCTGTGTGTTCTCTGCACAGAATGAGCGGTGTCAGGGTCCTTACAGCAGATGAACATGGGAACAGACTGCAAGACATGCTTCCTGAGTATGAGGGAGTCTCAGCCTCAGATTGGGTCCCCAAAGGGGGCCAACAGGAGCGCCTTTGGACAGTCGCGGCCTCATGGTGCCTCTGCTCATAAAAATGGCTGAACAGATCCCACTAAAACATAGGTCATGTGCCATCCGAGACTCGGATGGCTCCACCTGCATGCTGAGCAGTTAGGGATTTGTTACACATGACGGGGAGTGAGGAAAGGTTTTCCTGCAGAGGAGGAGCACACCAAGCTTGCAGAAGGTGGATCCACAGAAGGGAGGAATCATACTCATGAACCAAGAGCACAAGTTGGCTAGATCTGGTGGGGTCCACACCCCAAGGCTCCAGGAGCAGGCGCGTGGCCAGGAGAATACAGCTGGTTCTCTCGGCTGGGGCAGGAGAGTGGAGCCTGGGTCTTCTTAGTGGAGAAGGACCAAGGTCCTGATCTGGAAGCTTTAATTGCATTTCTGGGGGCATTTCTGAACCTGAAGCCTGACACCCAGGAATCTCCCTTTGGTGCACCCGGGGCTGCTCGGGTTGAGTAGGGACCTGCTAATTACCTCTTGAACGTAAATCTGTGACTCAGGACATAGCACGGACACTGCACGGACACTCTGTACTGAACCGAGCCACCGTGAGCAGTCTCCTAAATCTGATTTCCAATCCCTCCAGCCCCGCTTTGCTGTCAACCACACTCAGTCCAGGCAGGTGAGGGCTCGACGAAATAATTCATCTTTAGCATAAACTCCTTCATCTCACTTGTTCAGCTTTCCATTGTTCTTTGGGATGCTGAGCCCCCCCTTTTTTATATTAACATGATCTTACATTCAATTCTCTATATAAAACCATTCTCTCTCTCTTTTTGAAAAATACTTTAAATAAGAAAACATTTATTTTAGATACCAGTGAGTGGTGAAATAGGAATGATTCAAACTTAATCCTGCCTTGACGTATGGGAAACTGACTCAAATTCGGGAGTGTCAGAAACCAAGAAGTGCTTACAAATACCCTGGAGGAAATGTCCTTCAACCCCGTGGCCACAGAGAAAACAGTCCAGGTGGGAGGTCATGGGGAAGATGGGGTTTGGGGATGCTGCCATTTTGTGAAATGAAGCTGTATTTAAAGGCATGAAATCGATAACATTTTAAAGTTTACTTAAATCCTACCTATGTTAAGTGGATGGGTTTGGAACTAAACAGGTATAAATTTTAAAAACAGATAGATGAGACAGAGACAGATAGATATGTAACCTCAAAGAAGGAAGTTGGGAAAATGAGCCTAATGGCTTTCTCAGATGGCATCAGAGTAGGGCTAGGCCACAGAAGAATGGCTAGAAGTCTACTCATGAGCAAATCTGTATTTAAGGAGTGTTTCCTTCCCATAAGCAGGGAAATGTAGGAGGGCAATTCTTGTTGATGTGAGTCACCAACTGAGTCATTGTGAGAGGCAAGCCCCATTGTTGGTCCTAGAATCCACTGACAAAAATGGTCATGCCTGAGAATGTCCTGTCACTTCTCTCAACCCAGTGGTCCCCAAAGCACTCATGGCTTGTGTATTCCTTAGAAGGACGCCTCTGGGAAACGGTGAATGTCTCAAGGGGAAAGCCAAGAAATGGGAATCCATTGGGTGCCATCTTCCCAAGTGTTCAGACGTCCCATTGTCTGCACGTTGGCCTAGCGTCTTGGGCTATGCCTTCTTCTTCTCGCCCCAGGTGCTCTAGAGTCACAGAGCCCCTTTGGGTCCCCAAGTGGAGGCTGTGCTCTGCCGTCAATGCCACCATCTCTCCAAGGCTCAGGACAGACTCCGCACCAACAATTCCAACCTTCATCCTGCCTCTCTTCTCCTCCTCAGCTTTTTGCCCTGAAAACCATGGGCGTCTTGAGGGTTTAAAAAAATCTCATCAAGCCACGAGATAAAACACCTACTGTTACAAGGCCACAGAAAAACCAAGAGAGTCCCGCCTATGTAGAAGGTGGTAACTGTCCCTTCTTTTCCACATAAAGAAACAGAGTGAAAGGGGCAGGAGTGGGGGATGGGCAGAATGGGTGAAGCACGGTGGGAGGTGCAGGCTCCCAGCTATGGGGTGAATAAGTCGCAGGGTGAGAGATGCAGCAGAGGAAACAGTGTCAATGGTACTGTAACAGCGTGGGGACACATGGCAGCAGAATTACGCTGAGCAGGACAGGAGTGGAAGGACAGGGAAATGGAAAACTTAGCTTCCTCGTTTTTATTTGGAGAACATGTAATAAGTCTCTAACCAAAAAAATTATCTCCAGGCTTAATGATAATTTATCCTCAGGGAGACGGATGAGTCTAGGTAAAGGAAACATTATAGACACGATAGGACTTCGTGACAATAACCGCTGTGAGCAACATATCACAGCATTGCAGGATCCCTAAGTGCTTGTGTGAACTCATGCATGGAACCCACAAACAAGCCTCGGAAAGGAGGGCCTACTGTCACACCCATGGTAGGGATGGGGAAACTGAGCCTTTGCAAATTGACTAAGTTGCCTAGCGCACATCAGCAGGAAGCCCCAGCATTCTAACCCAATTGCCTCCGTCCGTGCAAAGGGCGTGTCTAACCACTGAGCACACCACACCAAATGGCCTGGGACTGAAGTAGCTGCAAAGTGGTTCTGAGACATAGGAAACTGGAGAATGCTGGAAACCAGCGCAGCCCGTGAAAAGAGACAACATATAGGACATGGGATGGAAGAAGAAGGGACGGCAACCTAAATAATTGACGTTTTTCTCCACGCTTTTAACTCTGGGCCCCTGAAAAGGGCACCCCTCCCCCTTTCACTGGTACCCCACGGCCAAGGCATTCACCAGTCTTGTCACACCTAATGGAAGGCTGCACCGGACTCCACCTGACACAGATGAGGTCTTTGTTAGCGAGGAGGTTCATCGCACTGCTGCCTCTGAGGGATTAGGTCACAAGAGGCCACAATGCGTCGTGTGTATTCAGCACCTCTCCCCACCAACCACACAAGTGTAGTCACTGTTCTCAGCCTCCAAGCCTGTCCCTGCCTCAGGGCCTTTGCCCTTGCTGTTCCGCTCAGCGCACAGCACTCTCCCATGGGATATGCAACCACGGCTCTCACGTTTCCTTTCTGTCTTTGCCTGACAGCCTTCCCCAGTCACCTTATCAACACTGGAGCCCCTGTAACCCCTGCCACCCTGTGTGTCCCCCACACTTTTTACTGCTGATAGATTCTATCATCACTGTCCCACTGTGCCCTATTTGTCTGTCACATCTCCCAACCCCTCTGGATCGAGACCACTGCATGAGTCCGCCTGTCCTGCTTCATACACACACCCCCCCGCCCCGCACCGATGGTCACTGTGCGTGTCCAACACATCATTAATAAATAAATAAATGAGTTGATTCCCACATGCCCAAATCCAAAGGGATAACGTGGTATTGCTCGTCTGCCATGCTCCTGGAAGAATTTGAGACACAACGTAGACATGAAGCTGCCTGTCATCAAATAAAGAAAAACCTGCCTGCTGTCTTTAGGCAAATACGTGATGAGCTCTCCAAAATTAAACCGAAGTCTGAAATGGGCACAGGAATTAAACGAAAGAACCTCACTGCAGGTGCCCACTGCCACAGAAATTCAGTGTGGACGCAGCAAACAAAACCCCCCACCGCTTAGGTGGAGGGTCTTAAGAAGGAAGATCTGATCAGAAGACCGTTTTTAAAAAAATCTTCAACAGGGAACAAAGCCTGTAACAAACATGTCATTCTGTATCACAAGAGCAGGGTCCTGGCCAGAGAGAGGCAATTGCTTTTGCCTTGGGCCTTTTCACGGGAGTGTGGGTTTAAGTGGCCCGATTGTCCTGGCTGTTTATGAGCCCGAGCCTTCGTAACACCCCCGAAATGTGTTCTCCTAAAGATGTTCCCTGAGATATGACAGTGCTCTGCATTGTTTCTCTGCATACCACATTCATATCCCAGAGTAATCCGCCTTTCTTTTAACGGCTGATGACAGTTCCACTGGTTGGGGGAAAATCAGTTGAAGGAAAGGGAAGTCTTGTCGGAAATGCGATTAATCTTGTAACGAGTGTTCAGCTCTGATAACCCATCTGGGCACACAACTGCTTAAACCGGAGAGCAATTAACCTTCACCCGACGAGCTCTGTCCAACCGTTATAAACATTAAAGAGACAGAATCCTCCCCTCCTCCTTGTAGACTAAACAACCAGATTTGAATTCCATGTAAACGGCCTCTTTCTGCAGATGTGCACCGATGACAAAGGCCGGGGGAGAGGCGGGTCACGGCTCTGCTCGGAACTCAGGTAACCTGGACCTCAGCTCGAGCCCCTGGAGGTCCTTAGCGTGAAAAGTCGCTCGGGGCATTTTTAGATAAAATCACTAGCTGTAGGGTAGTTGGGTTTAGCTGCTTTCATGCAGGAACACAGGTCTGCTAATAGCAACACGACTTGAGTGCGGTTTTTTTTTTTCCTTTTCTTTTTCTTTTGTCCAACAGTAGAGACATTTGCATGGAGCTGGCCCCTTGCTTGCACTGGGTTCCTCTCCTCCAACCACGCAGGGTACTGCATGAGTAAATGCATCTTGTGGTCACAGAAGGGGGATTTTTTTTTTTTTTAATCTCTGAGAAGTCATTAGCTTTCATGAAGAGCAAACCTGTGATCTTGCCTTTATCAGCACATGCTGTAACCAACTGGGCTAACCAAGGAGGCCACGTACAACACCGCTTGGTTAGGGTACCCTCTGGTGAAAGTAACTCTCACAACACTGAAGAGAAACCTCTGACGTCACTTAACTTACCAGTCAGGCAATAGCTTTCTGGAGCATTCTTTAAAGATTTATTTTTCTTTATTTGAGAGAGGCAGAGAGAGAGAAAAAGTGCATGAGCCAGGGGGAGGAGAGGGAGAGAGAGTCTTAATTAAGCAGACTCCCCGCTAAATGCAGAGCCTGAAGCAGAGCTCGATCTCATGACCCTGAGATCAGGACCTGAGCTGAAACCAAGAGTCAGACACTCAACTGACTGGGCCACCCAGATGCCCCTGGAGCATTCTTTTATATGGGGCCACTGGGTTGTATTTATGGACATGGTATTAACAGCAGGCAGATAAACCATAAGGCCCCTGTGCCTTAGAAGCGGCTACAGACTGAGGCGGGAACATGATATACCCCACAGAGCACGTGAACAAGAATACGTGAGTTCATGTACAAAGGGATATGAAGGACAGATGCTCTGTACAACCAGCCTGTCTTCTAGTGGGCCTTCACACAGATTCTAAAAAAAAATAATAAAAGGGGGGAAATGAGAACATTCACTTAGCATGTTCTAAAATTTCTCTCTCCCAAGGTTTCAGTCCAGGCTTCACGATGGCCAAAGACAGCTCTCAAGATACTCCAGGCTGACGTTCAGTCTCATCTTACCCCTTGAACCCGGTTTCTTTTTCCAGTGGGTAAGTTGTGACATTCGAGGCCTCGCGGATGTGTTTGTACATGACGGGGCTGAGCTTTCAAGGCCAGTCTCACTCACACCAGCTTCTAGTGACACAATGAGAGAGGAGTGTGGGAGAAGTGCAAGCACCCTGTGGGCCATATTGCTACCCCGGGGACACACTCCCGGGGACACAGTCGGGAGACCGAGCACTTCGTGATCCACAGTGCTCTTCCTGCCACTCCTGGGCAGGAGTCGTGAAGGACATCCTGAGGGACTCACCTCTGCCTCACAGGGCTTTATGTCACCTCTGCATTTGCAGCTACATGAGATGCAAGCAGAGCATTCCTTGGGTCCAGTTTTCCCAGTCGCGCTGGGAGCTTTCCCGTGTCTTGGCCAGAGGCAAGGTGGAGACGGGCTGGTCAACTTTTCATCCCGGGGGGACCCTCGAGTGCCTTCCAAGTAGACAAGGGCGCACACAAACAATGTAACAAGAGCTCCTGACTGGTCCTTGATTTAAATTTGCGTGTCTTTCCCAGGAAAACCTTGCAGAGCCTTCATGGTCAGGGCTAAGTTGAAGTTCACGTCTTTGTTTAGCGACAGATCCACGTCACAAGACACGACACCGGCAGATATCAAAGCCAGAAGACAAAAATGAAATCATGGTGCCTGACAGTAACACGGGACATGATGCCATTTTATGAGCTTAGTCTCAGGGCCATGGAGGTTCAGCTTGAGGATTTAAGTGAAAAAAGCCACAGGAATCACTTTTTTTTTTTTTTTTTTTAGTAAGTTGTAAATAGCACACTCATCCATGCGTCTACACTGGGCCGATGGGGAGGGTGAATGGCTGCCTGCGTAACCAGGCCCCCACGTGATGCCGATGAGCCCTGTGGAGGCCCCAACCTTGCTGCACTTCTTGACATCCACCAAGTAAAACTGTGAGATAAGGAAAAACCACAGCATCACACCCAGTATCTTGTGAAACTGAAACAGCTGTGGGGCGAACGCTGCCTTACAGTGATTTGTGATTTTGATCATCACACTGGATTTCACGGTGTGATGGCTGACATGCATGCCGAGGAGCCCAACGTGCTTTTCCGGGAAACCGACAGCATTCACAGATTCCCGAATGGTCCTTACGCACAAGCGTCATGCCGGAATCCCAGCATCGGCACTCGGCGGTGAGGATGATCGAGGAGCGGCCGCCCGCTCTTCCAAAGCCCGAGAGAAGCTGCCAACCTGGAGACCTTGTCTCCCCCCTGCCTGAACGGTGCTCCCCGCCCACATCCACCTAGAACCTCAGGATGTGAGCTTACTTGGAAATAGGGTCTTTGCAGAGGTCATGAAGGCAAGGATTGGGGGAAGATCATACTGGAGGAGGGCACATCCTAAATCCAACAAGAGCACCCCTGGCAGGGACCAGAGAGGACAGAGCAGCCAGATACGCAGAGAGGGCGATGGGTGGACAGCGGTGGAGTTCAGGGGATGTGGTGACAAGCCAAGGAATGCAGGCAGCCATCTGAAGCTGGGAGAGGCCTGGGACCCACTCTCCCTCACAGCTGCCAGAAGCACCTGACCCAGCTGACACCCTGATTTTGGATTCTGGCCTCCTAAACCGCAAGACAATAAATTTCTGTTTGCAAGCCACCCGGTTTGTGGTTATTTGTTATGACGGCCCTAGGAAACTACTATGCTACCTGTGGACAGTTTTTAACAAAATATTTGCCATTTGGGGGCATGGTATGGCCCACTGTTTGCCTGATAGAATTAGCACACTTTCCAAAAGTGCTTGAGTTTATGCCAAGAATTAGGTAAATCCCTGGTTGCAGCAACCAGAGAGTCTGAAGTGTTCAGAATAATGCTAAATTTGCTAAATTTTCCATGTAAACTCCTTTGTCTGACAATGCCCTGGTTCTTCTGTTTAGGAACTTTTCTGCTTATACCACTGGGGGAATGAATGTCTGGTTCACATTCTAATGAAAGTCATCGTCACGTGGGGAGGTGTTTTCACAAAGATCTTTAAATGTCTCAAAATTTTATTTGTTTGAAAATAATGTTAGAAGGTAAAAAAAAAAAAAGCCAATGGAAACTAGAATTTAATTTCTTTAATTTCTTTAGCATTTTTTCCAGCCAGCATTTGTGGGCAAATGAGGCAAATTATGATTGTTTTATGTGTATTCTTGCCCCAACAACATCTTAGTTCTCTCAAGAATTCCTTTTAATTATCCTAAGAACAATTAAGAGTGTACGGACCTGAAGTACAATTGGGTTGAGAAACACTGGACCCCTCCATGGCTAATCCAGTTTCCTCTAACTTTTGGACTCCCAAATAAAAGTGCTTTGTTTTGGGGGGATTTTTTTTTTTTTTTTTGCCTTTTCTTTGACTCCTTAAAAACTAGATCATAGTTTTTTGTCGCTGTTTTGTTGTTTTTGTTTTTATAGATCATAGTTTTCGCTAGGAGCGGGACCAAGTCAGATTTATTCACATATGCTGCTGAAGACGTGTTCCACTTAGGGAAAGATTTTGGTACACGTTTGGTCATGTGTTCATGTGTTCGTTCATTCAACAAACATTTTAGAGCAGGACATCACATGCCTGTGTTAGGCGCAGGACAAACAGTGAACCAAATTCATAAATTATGTTGGAAAAACAGTTCACAGAAAAAAATATTACCAACATAACAGAATACATTAGCTTTTAGGAAAGATCACATTTTCTTTGGCTTATATAGAATGCCTGAACCAGTAAGGCTCCCTAAGTTAAATAATATGTTTGCTAAACTTAAAATTTCAGTAGGAAATCCAGTTTTATTATCTGGCTTAGATAAGTCGGGTGTTAACTGCTATTCAAGTTCATCTTTATTATAAAGCAGATTGTCCCGCAATCGAATACAAAGAACTTAGCTATTTATGAAAATGTCCGGGCGCCTGGGTGGCTCAGTTGGTTAGGCGACTGCCTTCGGCTCAGGTCATGATCCTGGAGTCCCGGGATCGAGTCCCGCATCGGGCTCCCTGCTCGGCGGGGAGTCTGCTTCTCCCTCTGACCCTCCCCCCTCTTATGTGCTCTCTCTCTCTCATTCTCTCTGTCTCAAATAAATAAATAAAATCTTAAAAAAAAGAAAATGTCCTACCACATCATACCCACTGCAGATGCCATTTACATAATAATTCCAGTAGAGTAAGCGCCACCTGATCCACCGGTGATTATGGAAGCCCTCTGTGTGAACCAGTACATTGGAAACAAGTGTATGTTTTAAGAAATTAAGTTGGAGCTTCCCTGAAATTTCAAAGGAGTGGCTGCAGTAACAAAAAAAAAGAGAAACAGATAGTGTCCATCATAATGCATTAAACACAGCTACATTGCTGCGTGCCCAGAAAGACTTTCTGCATAATGGATTGACCCAGTTGAACACAGGCACGACCCGAGGCAAACCTTGGACATATAAACAGTGTAGGTCTTGCCACTTAGCAAAAGTGAAAGCACTGCTTGGTTTTGCCCCATCCGGACAGTGTCATGTAACAGAATGCAGGCTGCCAGAACCGTATTTCTGCTTCTAGTTTTCATGTGGAAAGCATCACCAGCTGTGGCCCAGAGAGGGGCATACACTTATTGGGCACACGCTCACAAATGTTCCAATCACAGATTCTGGACAGCCCCGTGATCATCTCCCCTTCCCTAACATGGACAGGTTCTTTAGGACACACATGTTTAAGTCTAACATTAGGCATTCACAGGTGACACGGGGGCATTCAAGACACCGGTCCCAAGCTATAGAAATAATTCTGTCTTCTCATAAAGCACAACTTCCCTCATCAGTTGTAGGGGCAACTAACACAATGCTGTGCAGATAATAAGAAGTCAATAATTGCTCTTTGTATTAAATGAATGAATTCTCCACAACATGTGGGCAAGTGTCACCGTACTAATTAATGCACCCAGTCATGCATTTATCACCCAGGTAGATAGTCATTTGTTATTGAACAGACATCTAATAAAGGCCTGCTGCTTACTAGGCATGTTCATCACGAATAAAAAATGACATGATGACAGCCATATAACTTAAGGCACAGAATCCTGAACTCTAACAACCAGTGTTTTGAGAGTTTCTGGTCTTCAGGGAGGTTCCACAGGTCCTTAATCATGGACGTTAGCTGGCAATATGAGAATTTGATAGATGCTTCCTCTCCTCCTGTAAAGAACGTACCAGCTGCAGTAACTGTTTCAAACTAGCATTTGACTTCTTCTACTCTAGGGCCCCTCCAGAGACCAGCTGTTGTTCCCCATTGCAGGAATGCATTCATTCATTCACAGAAAAGATGAAGGAGGTGACAGTGAACACCTCACAGTCCTCCATCTTGGTTTTTCTATGGATCCTCAAAATTGTTGGTTTTCTGGGCTCGTGAAAATGCAGCTGAGTTCAGCGGCTAAAACTTTAAGTCACATGTTGCTTGAACCACTGAATGAACCCCCAGTGGGGACTCTCTTATGGTGTGTCTACTATCCTCAAAGAAATAGCCTGAGAAAGAAGCAAATAATATATAGGGAAAGACTCTCATTTCTTTAGATGAAATAGATCAATGTCTCTTTAGATAAATACCCAAAACATATTGGAGGATACCTTTCAAAAGTCAAACACTGAAACAAACACAGTCAAGAATGGATTACTTCAAAAAAAGTAGATAAGTTATGAGAGTAAATTAAATACTAGGAACAAGACTAGGGTGAGTAACCAAAGAGCTCCCAACAGCAAACATTGTTTGCAGCTGAATGCACGTGACTCAATGGGCGAACCATCAAGATGCAAGCACTATTCTCATAACTCACTCTGTTCTACAGATGATCAATTGAGGCACAGAAAAATGAAGTCACCTTGCCAAGGCACTGTGGAGATAGGATCTGCCTCAGGCAGGCCGGTTCTGCTCCACAAGACAGAATATGGAGACTTAATCTCTAAAGAGGATGATAAGAAATTCAACCCTTACTCCTCTTTTCTTCTCCATTCTGGAAAAAAAGGAAGGGAGTAGGAAAGGACTCTTAAATATGAGCTTAATTTCTTAAACGTTATTATTCTTTCTAAAGAATATGTCTCTGTGCATGGAAAAAAGACCAAAAAAATAAAATAAAATAAGTGCCAAGTCTTCACAGACCCTTCATGGTGTAAAATCAATTATTTTAATTTCCTTTTCTAAATGCTTATTTTCTAAATCCTACAATAATTGTTTTTGAAATGGGGGAAAAAGAACAAAGGTTTTATTATTGTTGTTGTTTGAACAATATGTTATTCAATGGATATATTGAACGTGGATCCACTTCAGGCTAAAGAAAACAAGACAAAACAAAACCAACCACAAGCCCCAGTCAACAAGCAGTGGGCATTTGCAGGGAGGATGCCAATAGGGTATGCTCCATCCTGTATCAAAGTCAAGCCCATCTGCTGTACGGCCCTGCACCAGCATCACAAAACCATGATTCCGGGGGCACTGGAACCAATATAGACTGAGAAGATCAGAGAGGTCAGTTTGCAAAGAAGCAGAGGTGGTGGAAGGTAGCCTCTGAAAGGAGGCATGTTGGGGGACGCCTCAGGGAGTTTCAGCAAAACCTAACAAAGCTGCACAATCAAGGTGCAGAGGAGGAAAGCAGTCTTCACTCCAACAGGAGGATCCTAAGATTTTAGTGTCTTCCAACAAGATGAGCAAAAGTATATCAACAAATGAAAATATCTCTTTGGGCAAGTCCACGTCAACGCAAGCTAGATATGTGTACTGAGTGATTGTAGATAAAAGCATTAGGGTATACTCATGTACTAGCCTCTTCATGAGACAGGACTACATCTAAGCACGTCTGGCAGCTTCTCGGGGTCAAGTGCAATCGGCCTCCCCACCTGGCGGTCATCAACACCTGTGGAGTAAGTATGGGAAGAGGAGCCCTACCGGACACGGTGCTCCTGACATTGCAAAGCAAAGCGCCCAGGAGCTTTTGGATCATCAAAGGAGGTGCTTTACCATGATGTGACCCAACAATTAAAGGCAGCTCGGTTTTCTGATTATTTTCAGGACCTGTAGGAGATGCGGGCGGAGGTGGAGGTTTCCGTGTTTGGAGTATGTAAACATCACTCTTTGGAGTTCTGCCCATACTTGACTTGAGTGGTTTTCAGGTGCTGTTTATTTTGTTTAGTTTATTGTTCAGTGTTACTGTTTGTTGACTTGGTATATTATTTTCCCTTACAAAGGGGCCAGTCGGTAAGGACACATCCTGTAGATGGATAATTGATGATGCCCCATTGTTCAATGTTTGTGTGTTGTGGTTTTATGTGCTTTGGTTCAAAGGACCTAAACAATGCATTCACTGGAACTTAACAGCCGGTGTAAAATCAGCACAGAGAACAATCTGTGTTCTGAGATTTTTGTACCCAAATCTGGCGATCTCTGCTTGCTTGAAGAAAGCAAAATCTAAAATGACCTTTACTCTAAATAACCCCAGAAAAAAACAAAAAAAAAAAACAAAAAAAAAACCCTGCACTTGAATGTCCAAGAGGCTTATTTTCCACCAACTACCGAGGCAGACTCACTCATCATTCACAGTGATTCACAGGAGACTGAGGTGCCTCCACGACACACCTCTTACTCACGGACATGACTGTCTGGTTACACTTATCTCCGTCAACAACAGCAAGCAGACAAGAGCAAGGATGGGAACGAGGGACTGAAGCCATGACTTTAGAGACGCTGGATTTTCCAC